CTCCCTTCGGCGTCATGCCCAAATATACTACCTCTCTTGCAATAAGCGGCTGCGCACGCCGTGGTCATGGCCCCGGTTCGTTACAGCTTGCGCAGACTCTACGCATACCGCGGTATTCACACATGACGCGGTGCCCCGCGATGGTTGTGAAGTTTGGGACTGGCCAACTAATTTCCATGCGCACTGCTCTAACCCCATTAAGCTTGTTTTGTCGGTTAGGAACTTATGCAAAGGAAACAATTCTTATCCTGCTGTACTGCGAAACAGCGTTAATCAAGACCTTGTCTGGTATATATGCTGGAAAGCGGTATACGTTAACAAATGTAACTGGGGGTCCTACCGCTTCTACTGTAACGTGCTCCCGGTTAACTTTGAAGCCCTTGGCGACCATAAGCTTTGTGGCCTCACTCGCGTTTCGGGTACACACAAGGAAGTTCGCGCCCCCCATGTGTTGCAAGACTAACACACTATCAGGTATGGCTGTCTCTTCAACTGCATCTATAAGGTCGTCAATAAACACGTTCCAACGGGGGCGGTGAACAGAAAACAGTTCTCCCTCACCGGGAGGGTACTTGGGCTTGCCATGTCTGAAGAGGGCGTGTCCGCTGGTCTCGCGGGCGATCAGCCGTTGGGACTTGGAAGGGTGACTTGTTGGTCTGGTAGTGTGCAGATTTCTCTGCACTCTCATGCATAGGGCGGATAAGAGACCGCTCAGCATCAGGTGGCACCAGGGCAGAAGGCTTCCGGGGCAGCAGACGGCGTCCGGGGACCTTGCAACGCCTGGCATGGGGGTGGGAGGGGGGCTCCGGGCGGGAGCCAAGAGTACAGGGGGCGGCGGCTGCTCGCGGTAGGGCGCGACGACTCTGCCACGGGTGGCTTCCTTTTTGCTTGAAGGGGACCGGTGGGGCAACGTCAGCGTGACGTGGCCCCGGGTCTGGCTGTGCGACTGGCGCGGCGAAACGGCTTGCTCGGACTTTGATCTTAGCCACAAGGACTTTGATCTTAGCAGCACCGGTTCGTCTTTCGTAGTCGTAGTAGTAGACGTAGTGTGTAACCAGTCTTACATTTAGACCTCCAAGGTGGTGCCGGTAAGAGATTTCTTCTGTGCGTTGTTGAACAAGAAAAAAATTCGCAGCGTGCGCGTTAACTAAAAGCCGAATTCTCCTGTCTCTCATTCCCCCTTAGCAGCCATTGGCATGTACATTGAGCACTATCTGACAAGAAAGGGTTGCTACGTTATACTCGCTGGGCATAACCTCCTTGGTTTTAGAAAGGTTTAGCGAGCGTTGCGCTGCAGTGCCATGAATACAGTGAACTAGTATATACCATGAACTCGAGGTGGTTAAAGGTGGGAAGTAAGCACGAAGCGCAAGCCGTAAGAAAGTGTGCGTGTGCCGCCTCTCGTTTAGTTCATGGAATGTTCACTGTAAGGTGGTGCATATGCGGAATATATGATGAAGATATGCGAGATGGTGGTACTTGGAGTGTTGAATAGATGGAAGAATGGACACACAGAAAGATGCATGGACGGACGCACAGATGGGTGCACGGACGGATGGACGCATGTACGGACGCAGGAGTGGATGCATGGACGAACGCAGGGACGGATGCACAGATGGACGTGTGGACGCACGAACTGACGCAGGCACGGACGGGCGAATGGACGCACAGACGGTCACACAGACGGACGCATGGACGGACGGAAGGAAGAAGAAACGGACGGACGGATCTTTCGGCCCACTCCCCATCATTCACTCTGTGGATATGCTGCCATTTTTTTATTTCGCCGGCTTTCCTAGTATACGTGAGACGTACTTTATGAAAAATAATGTACTGATAGGTTTCTGAAAACGCCCTCGAGCTTTTTAAATTGAACTGGTCACCTAAAGGCGATATTCAGCAAATTAGTGAACTAATACCATTAACAAATTTATATCTCGCCGACCAGAAATGGTCTGTAGTGCACGAAGGGCTGTAAATAATAGGCAATGAATTTCAGTCAGCTACCTCTAATATTTTATATTTTAACCCTTGGCTAACTAATACTGGAGCACTCGGCATATGCGCATTTAAACCTGGGTGCTCTAGTTAGGGCCACCAGGGTCCATTGCAGCGAGTGTAGAACTCCTTTTGTGCGTTGGCATGGCGTAGCTCGTGATTCTATCACGAACTAGGAGCTGACGAATGATCCTTCGCAAGCTACCTAAAGGCATCAAGTGTGCCATAACGAGAATCGCAGTGAGTGAAAGAAAGTGTAAATTCAAAGCGTCACTTCTCATCGTTAGACACAATATCTTTGAGAACTAACAGACGATGGTGCATAAGAAGTACAGGTGGGGTTGCAAGAAGTAATTGCAAAGCAAATGCAAAGAAAAGAAAGTCAATGAAAAGATAACTTGCCATGTGCGGGACTCAAACGTGCAGCCTTAAGATAGCGCGTAATATGCTCTATGCTAGTGAGCAAAGTGGTAGCATCGTGGAAGAGGATCGTTTGTTCTGTATTTTATTATGCACAACAAACGACGCGTGTGTGGCGTCAAACCGCAAATGAAGAAAACAGCTTTGATTTGTGATAACATACTGAGCTGCCCCAGAGAGGACCCAGGCTAGAACCCGGCTCCATCCAGAATATTTCTCGTATATCGTTTTATTGCTTATTTAACACTACAGTAGTTACCCACACCGGCTACAGTGGCAACTGGCACCCTTGTTGTGATCTCACAACAGCTATCGCTCGAATGAGCCCCCTCGTGGCTGTTGTATGAAGCAATCATTAGTCGAGAATGTTCCCGCTTCCTCTACTTTTCTCAAGAAGGTTTGATAGATCATTTTATTTAGCAATGAGTTACACTGTTAATGAGTTACAATGAGTTACACTGATACAGCACTATCAGTGCAGTATCAGAGAAGCTCGTGTTAAACACTAGTCATCTAAACATCTGGTTCAACTTTTCTTTCGTACACACAAGAAGAATGTCACGGCTTAACGTCCTGTGGCGGGTTATTCATTATCTCAATGTTACTGAGCGTCCGTACGCTTGGTGCTGTCGGGAAGCGAATAAGATTGCATCACATCGTAAGGTCATCTGAAGCATAATAGTTCACTACCTAATTTTATGCGAGGTATATTGGGAAGTTTCGAGACGTCTTGCTGCTCTATCTTTTCAGGATTGTGAAAGCTCTTTTTTAGGTCCTGCTCTTTTTGCGTAACTAGTTTCGGAAACGCTAAACATCAGTCGCCTCTGCAGCTATTCTCGCAAGATATGTCTGTATGCCAAAACATTTCGTTAGTGTTAACAAGGCGCTTTTCTAGTGAAAACTCTAGTTATGTTTCTCCCAGTACCTGACCATTTGTGAATGTGGCTTCGAAAAGCTTGTACACGAACATTCGGCAGTTTCATGGCATGAAGAATTCCGGAAGGTCCATTCTTACGGTAGCTTTTAGCGCGAAGTACACTCGAGAGACGCAGAAGATTTGCCCTTGTTCATCTCTCGTGTTTGGTTCGCGTAAAAGCTACCGTAATAATAAACCCACTCGCCCACAAAGTCAATCTACTGAGGTTGATTCTCAGTCTCCACTGCACTGCTCACAATTCACAATTCGATGGTTTTGGGGTGAATCTCCGGAAGCATGAAGTACGCAGATAGCATTATCGTTATTGAGAGGTTTGAGTGCGCAACTATGCATGGAGGGCACGCAGCTGCTAGCAGATAAACTGTTTAAAAGTTACACGGGTAATTACGTATCTGCATATAGGAGACTGGAAGACTAATGCAATCTTGTTTTCATCAGACAATTATTTCGCTCCTCCCCCTCCCCGAAAGCTTACTGACATTATTCCGCACATTTTGAAGATTGCAGGAATTGGAAGCTGTCTGCAGTTCACGTCTTCGGCTCATCTTCAACCAAACGTCAGCATCACATGACTATGACAAATGACGCCTTAGTACCATCACGAATTCGGGCTACTTTTGACGCCATGATTACACCAACCCATGGCGGGGATTGTTTTACTTCCTGGAGGTTTATGCCGCGGATAAGCTGTAGGTCGCTCTTCCCGTTTCACGAGGCACTTTAAGCTTTGCCTTATATTGGGCAACCTGAGCGTGACGGTTTTAGGATTTTTTAGTAGTTTTTTATTGTATTTCCTTGCTCACTCTTTGTTTAACATGTTAATCAAGAGTTCGCCGTGGACTTCAGCCACTACATACAAGCTATTATGATCTAGGTTTTCCGCCGGTGACGGTTACGAAAAATTTGGCAGCTGTCCTCGCCACCAGCAGCTTGATGCAACCGTGCAGATTGTACCTTCTATAGCCTGCGATGAAAAATGTTTCTACGTAAAAGATATTTTTGACAAAAAAATGTTGAAGAACTGCCGAATCAGCCCAAAAAGATTGGCAGAAAGCCACCTGACATTTCATTGTCTTCTATGCTTCTGCCCACCTGCGCAAGTTTGTTTATCTTTTATATAGGAAGAACCACTGCTTGCCTCCAATTTACTTTCCACATTATCCATATTTCTCTGATTACCACTGCTTTCTTTAGGTTCTAATTTGTCAACATGACTATGGTAGATACCGATGAAGAATAAATTATATTCAGCTACTGTCAATTCATGTTGCCTAAATTCTATACCTGTATTTTGTTTACACTACCTTATGAGCGCATAAAATACAGAGCTTCTAAAAAAGACACAAACACACAGCGCTGAATGTGTCTTTTCTATGAGTTCCATCTTTTTCGCGCTGATAAATCAGTCTCAATATTCATGAACTAACTCGCCAAAGCAACAACTTTAACTGTCTCTTCGGCTCTACTTACAAAAACTTGTGATGTCACATCAACCAAGCTGTCTTTTTCATTTGCTTCAAGTGCAATGAACAGTGTTGGAAGTTCCCAGCACGTAACAATATTAACCCCAAGAACGTAGAAACCACCAGCTTTTGAAGAGACGTAAAAAAAAATATCTGAAGTACTTTGTTTCTCTCTCTTGCAGGTCAAATGCTGGAACGAAGACCCTGGTTGCGACGTTGTTTTGCCTGCATCGAAACTCAACAAACACTTTTGCAAGGATTGTGACCACCACTCCACTTCCTGTCCTAGATGTTCGATGGTCGTACGCTGTAATAGTGTGTGCGCCCACATGCAGAGCGAGTGCATGGATCACGTGATCTCGGTGCAAGCGGCGAGTCCTCAAACAAACTCGTCTAGCCAGCATGCCACTATGATGGCTTTGAATGCAAACATGTACACGCGTGTAGGTGAAATCAAAGACAATTTAGACCACCTTACGCAGGAAAATACCACCCAAAGTAACTGCCTCAATGAGATTTCGCAGTACGTGAACACGAAGAAAGAAACACTACAAGAAATATTACATAGAACTAGAGATTTGGGCACTGTTGTGTCTGCCTCAGATGTATTACATAGCACAGTAACACTGAATCACCATGGTCAAATGTTACAAGAGCTTTCAGGAACCATAGGCAATTCACACGAAGCACTGAAAGACCTTTTATATGGCACGAAGCAATGTGTCGAAGAGCTGAAAAAAGACACAGCAACCACCTTGAGAGCGGATTTAAAAGAAATTGTTTGTGGTGAGGGAAGCGTGCTAAGGGAAGTCCTGAGAAGAGATCTTGAGGATGTCACAAAGGCAGCCTCCAGCAACTGCGCAGAAACTGTTGCCGCAATTCTTGAAGTGAAGGAGTGCGAGAACAAAGCTGGTTCGATTGTAAAAAATAAAGAAAAAATCACAGCCTTAAGCTCAATCCCACTTAAACGACACGAGTTCTCTGTAGAAGGCCTGAACACAATTAAAGGCAGAGCACTTGCAAACGGATTTTGTGCATACGAGAAGAAAAAAGTGTACACATCCGGTTATCACTTGTCACCAGGCATATATTTTAAAAGAGACGGACAACATGTTTTGGTGTGTCCGCACATCAGGCTGCACAAAGGAGTCATAGACAGTGTTCTTCAATGGCCCTTTGACGAGAACTTTAGGCTGACCATCAAACATCCATCACAAAGCAAGGAGTGTCAAAGACTAGTGGTCACTTCTAATACTAAGGAATATGCAAGACCTGATACAGAACACAATGTTGGAGTATATTCTACTGCCCGCTCATTTCGCTTGGATGAACTGGAACGTGAAGGGTACATCGCGGGCGACAAGCTTCAGGTAGTTTGGGAGCTTGTTTCGAAAAACAATTCAAACTGAGAACTCAGATTAGGTTAATTTGAAGAAACGATCTTGTGGATCAGTCTGCAACAGCACTGCTGCCACAAACGCATCCAATCTAAGGGAATTAGTTTGCAGCTCAGGTGTGCTTGCGGTACTAAGGACACTTAAGTATCCGTGCTACGTCTTTGTTGTTGTGTAATACAGAATGTTTTTAGTTACTAATTTTTTAGTATCAATGTGTTTGAATCAAACACTTGAGCACTAGCTTCACGCGGTTTTATAATCGTTTCGAGAAAACATCGGCACTGGTGTCGTTGGTCGTGGGCGAAAAATTGTCAAAGGTGCAAAATAAAGCAAATAAGAAATTTCAGCTCGAGTAGTAATGCTTGAAGTGACTTCAAAAAGAAAACTATCTGTGTATGCCTTGTATTGAAATAAACGTTAACAAAGCATAAAATATTGCATGACAGAAGTATACCACGCCAGGTTTAGAAACACGTGAATGATCAAAGAGTGAAAATTTTAGAGATACTCCCACAGGAAGGTACTCACTAATTTTACCATACTTAATCATGTTTATAAGCGAAAACATAAAACTTAAGCAGCTACCTACAACGAGTGAGAGGTCTATTGTTGCAAAAAGCTGAGAGGTTAGCCTAACTCAATTTCATCACGTGCTACTCAAGATTAGAAAAAAAGTACTAAAAACAGTAGAGGGGAGGTGTAGTTGACGATAAGCTTGAAGTTGGTAATGGGTCAAAAGCTTGAATGCTCTAAAAGTATCTACGCTCTTTTTTGTGTTCTTTCTCACGCAAAAACTTGTTAAAAGCTTTGAAAATATGTGCTGAATATGACTTCAAGGATCCAAAAAAAAAACTTTATAAAAATACTATAGTTGTATATATTAGAATGCCCCTCCATCTACACTTTATACTGGTGATGCATGACTACAACTTATTGGTGAAAGAGCCTGACGCAACTTGCTGCAAATGACGCGTATATAAGGTCCCGTAACCAGAGGGATGTCAAAATGAAGTGCACCAAATAGTAGCGACCATGTCTCATCCAAGTTTGCGAACTTCCCTAACAAGAATTCACTTAGGGCTGTGACACCTTACATGTAAACAGTGCTATGGTTGACACTTTAGTAAACAGGGAAGCGGGAGCTTTGCGAACGTGAGTCGCTCGCTTCCCATGCTACGCACTTTGGGTTTTGTAATAGAGGATTTGCCACGCTTTCTTTTTTTTTTTACTTTCACACACACATTGCATGCGGTGATGTCATAAATTTGTCAGTAGGTGCAGGACTGAGTGCCAAAAGTGATTTTTGTTTTTGAGAAGTGGTCACAAACGGCGACACAATTTATTTTTGCTCTTTTACTGCATTATGCTGTTTATAATACTGCAACAACAATATGAGAACAGCAGTGACCTTGATGAGTAGTTTCTGATTTGAGTTTGAGTAGTTTCTTGATTACTTTAGTTTGACTGCTTACCAAAAGTGCTCTAAATTCTACAAGCCTGTCCTAATGTTCAACGGACTTTAAACAACTTTGGCATGTTCAGGGCTTTAATAAAAATGGCGATGACAATGTTCAATCTTCTCGAAAATGCTCACTGAAGTGTCAAATATGGGCACGACACCAAATTATCAGCAGCTTGTGCGCCTACGTTGAATCATTTCATGAGGCAAACCAATCATAAGTGAGCACACATAAGCCTATACCTGAAACATTTTAAGACCTACTTGAGAAAAATACACTTGAGTAATACCAATGCCCAGGTGAATTATTTATACGAAGCCAAACATGATGCCCTAAAACCGTCCTGCAGACCAGTGAACAAAATATTTAGGCTCGTGGGACTATGCAGAGTTTGCATAAAACCTTCTCTTTTATTATATAAGCGGGATGATATATGTATATATACCTTTCCTTAATTTCAGCACTATTGCCCTTTTCAACATCTCTACACATCTGTTTTACTAAATGAAGTTACAAGAAGCTGTGTTACTACTAGTATCAGCTCCCAAATAGGCCTTACGAGAATATCGCGCTGAATTTCTATACAGTGGAAGCGAGGGAAAGGTATATTGTTGGCTACCTTAGTGGTGGTGCAGTTGAAAACTTTTCTTCGCTAAAAAGCAAAACTAATCTTTCTAATTTTTCTGTATATTTTACGAACACAGCATACTACACAATGCTATAAAAGCCACGTTTTTACAATAACTGCTTCACTTCATAAATAAAGCTACAATAGAAGTCACAATACTATTTTTTCTACTTTTGTCACAATATGTCAATTTGCGCGCGTCATTCGCTTGCGAAGTATTTCAGTCAATAAATATCATCATCATCATCATCCTGACTACGTCGACTGCAGGACAAAGGCCTCTCCCATGTTCCGCCAGTTAACCCGTCCTGTGCTTGCTGCTGCCAATTTATACCCGCAAACTTCTTAATCTCGTCTGCCCACCTAACCTTCTGTCTCCCCCTAACCCGTTTCTCTTTTCTGGGGATCTAGTTAGTTACCCTTAATGACCAGCGGTTATGCTGTCTACGCGCTACATGCCCGGCCCATGTCCATTTCCTCTTCTTTATTTCAACTATGATATCCTTAACCCCCGTTTGTCCCCTAATCCACTCTGCTCTCTTCTTGTCTCTTAAGGCTACACCTACCATTTTTCTTTCCATTGCTCGCTGCGTCGTCCTTAATTTAAGATGAACCCTCTTTGTAAGTCTCCAGGTTTCTGCTCCGTAGCTAAGTACCGGCAAGATACAGCTGTTATATACCTTCCTCTTGAAGGATAGTGGCAATCTACCTGTCATAATTTGAGAGTGCTTGCCGAATGTGCTCCACCCCTTTTTTATTCTTCTAGTTACTTCAATTTCGTGGTTAGGCTCTGCGGTTATTACCTGCCCTAAGTAGACATAGTCTTTTACAACTTGAAGGGCACTATTACCTATCTCGAAGCGCTGCTCCTTTCCGAGGTTGTTGTACATTACTTTCGTTTTCTGCAGATTAATTTTAAGACCCACCTTTCTGCTCTCCTTGTCTAACTCCGTAATCATGAGTTGCAATTTGTCCCCTGAGTTACTCAGCAATGCCATGTCATCGGCGAAGCGCAGGTTACTAAGCTATTCCCCATTAACTCTTATCGCTAACTGTTCCCATTTTAGGCTTCTGAAAACCTCCTGTAAGCACGCGGTAAATAGCATTGGGGAGATTGTGTCCCCCTGCCTTACACCCTTTTTGATTGGTATTCTGTTGCTTTCTTTATGAAGCACTATGGTAGCAGTTGATCTCCTGTAGATTTCTTCCAGAATGTTTATATATACTTCATCTACGCCCTGATTGAGCAGTGTCTGCATGACGGCTGATATTTCTACAGAATCAAACGTCTTCTCGTAATCTATGAAGGCTATGTATAGTGGCTGGTTATACTCTGAGCATTTCTCTATTACCTGATTGATAGTATGAATGTAGTCAATTGTTGAGTAGCCTGTTCGAAACCCTGCTTGTTCCTTTGGTTGATTGAATCTAATGTTTTCTTTACTCTGTTAGCAATTACCTTTGTAAATAGCTTGTATACTACAGAGAGCAAGCTGATCGGCCTGTAATTCTTCAAGTCCTTGTCATCTCCTTTCTTATGTATTAAGATGATGTAAGCGTTCTTCCAAGTCTCTGGTACCCTTCCCGTTAGGAGACACCTCGTAAACAGGGTGGCTAGTTTTTCTAACACAATCTGTCCTCCACCTTTCAGCAGATCTGATGTTACCTGATCCTCACCAGCAGCTTTGCCTCTTTGCATGCTCTCCGAAGCTTTTCTGACTTCTATCATTACTGGTGGGGTGTCATCTGGGTTGCTAGTTCTTATAGTATTAAGGTCGTGGTTGTCTCGGCTACTGTACAGATCTCTGTAAAACTCCTCCGCTATTTTAAGTATCCTGTCCATATTGGTAGTTATTTTGCCTTCTTTGTCCCTTAGTGCATGCATCCGACTTTTGCCTATCCCAAGTTTCCTCTTCACTGCTTTGACGCTTCCTCCGTTTTTCAGAGCGTGTTCGATTCTCTCCATGTTATACCGTCTTACATCGCATACTTTACGTCTATTAATCAACTTCGAAAACTCTACCAGTTCTATTTTGTCTGTTGTACTTGACACTTTCGTGATTTGACGCTTCTTAATTAGGTTCTTCGTTTCCTGGGAAAGCTTGCCAGTGTCCCGCCTAACTACCCTGCTTCCAACTTCCACTGCACACTCCGTAATGATACTCGTCAGATTATCATTCATTGTATCTATGCTAAGGTTCGTTTCCTCACTAAGAGCCGAGTACCTGTTCTGCAGCGACACTCTGAATTCCTGTACTTTCCCTCTCAGTGCTAGCTCATTGATTGGCTTCTTGCGTATCAGTTTCTGTCGTTCCTTCTTCAAGTCTAGGCGAATTCGAGACCGTACCATTTTATGGTCACTGCATCGCACCTTGCCAACCACTTCCACATCCTGCACGATTCCTGGGTGTGCAGTCATTATAAAGTCTATTTCGTTCTTATTTTCGCCATTAGGGCTCCTCCATGTCCACTTGCGGTTTTCCTCGTTTGCGGTAGAAGGTATTCAAAATCCGCAAATTATTGCGTTCTGCGAATTTACTAGTAGCTCTCCTCTGGCGTTTCTAGTGCCGGTGCCATAATCTCCTACTGCCTGGTCTCCAGCCTGTTTCTTCCCTATCTTTGCATTAGAATCGCCCATCACTATAGTATACTGTGTTTTTACATTACTCATTGCCGATTCCACGTCTTCATAGAAGCTTTCAACTGAAGCGTCAGCATGGCTGGATGTAGGCTCGTAAGCCTGTACTACCTTCATCTTGTATCTTTTATTCAGTTTAATTACAATACCTACCACCCTCTCATTAATGCTATAGTATTCCTCTATGTTTCCAGCTATGTTTCTGTGAATTAGGAACCCCACTCCCAGTTTTCTTCTGTCTGCCAAGCCCCGATAGCAAAGGACGTGCCCATTCTGTAGCACAGTATAGGCCTCATCTGTCCTCCTAACCTCACCGAGCCCAATTATATCCCATTTAACACCCTCTAGCTCCTCGAATAGTACAGCTAGATTTCCCTCACTAAATATCGTTCTAACGTTAAACGTTGCCAAGTTCAGGTTCCAATGGCGGCCTGTAGTCCAGAGATTATTAGCACCCTCTGCTGCGTTGCAGATCTGACCGCCGCCATGGTCAGTTGCTTCGCAGCTGCTGGGAACTGAGGGCCGTGAGTTATTTGACGTATGCATGTGGGAGGTAGTGGCCAGATACTGCACCAGGGTGGCCAATCCTTCTCTGGGGAGGGAGTGCGTTCCCGGCGGTGGTTACTGGTGAGGCCGCACCCCAGGCCTCTTAATGCAGT